CTTCTACACACCTTACTAGTATATTTTCTATGCACCAAGAGCTGCCACGGGCAGTGAGGATAAAACAAAGCAAAGTCCCTACCCTCATGGAACTGATGAACCAGTGGGAGAGAAAGGTAATAAATATAGTAAGTAAGGATAAAAAAGATGCCAGGCAATGACAGCAAAAGAAGATGAAGTCCATAAAAAATAGAGTGACCAGAATTGGAGTGAAGGCAGGAGGTTTGGGGGATGGCTATTTTTTAAGATAACAAGTCTAAGAAGGAGTTACCCAAGCAGAACCTGAATGAGGTCAGGCAGTGAGCCCTGTGAACACCTACCTGGCCAGGAGCTTCTGGGCAGAGGCAACAAAGACTGATGTATGTAGTGTGTGTGTGCATGTGTGTGTTCGCACACACACGCAAGTGTGTATGTGCTCTGTACTCTGAAGGAACAGTTGGAGAGCCAGTGGTGCTACAGAGCAGTGAGCAAGAGGAAGCCAGGAAACAGTTGACGTAGGGAGTTGGAAGCCACTAGTAGGAAATGTTAAAGGATGACTTTGCTCTATGAGGCATGAACTGTTGCGCGGCATGCATGGAGCCCAGCAAGAATGGAAGCCAGAGCACTTCGAGAGGACAAGGCAGGCAGATTGCTTGAGGTCAAAACTTCAAGACCAGCCTGGCCAATATGGCAAAACCCTATCTCTACTAAAAATGCAAAAAAATTAGCTGGGCATGGCAGTGCATGCATATACTCCCTAGTCCCAGCTACTTGGGAGACTGAGGCAGAAGAATCGCTTGAACCTGCGAGGTGGAGGTTGCAGTGGGCAGAGATTGCACCACTGCACTCCAGCCTGGGCAACAGAGGGAGACCGTCTCAAAAAAAAAAAAAAAAAAAAAGAATGAAAGCCAGAGACTCTGGAGTCAACTGCAAAGGTGACTCCTTTGCTGACAGTGAGAGAGCTAAAGCTTCAACAAGGTCTGTCTGACTCAGCCACTGTGAGACACAAATTAAAACAGTCTAAAAATTATCCCAAGTATTTCAACTGCAAAAATCAAATATCTGGGTAACCCAAGCCTCAAAATATATTTGCGAGTCTGTAGTTATCAGAACTGGCAGTCAAAAATTACCATCTAACCTCACAGGATAGTAGTTTATCTCTGTCCTTTGCTTTCTGCCAGTTTTACCTAAGGGAAGTGGACCTGAGATCTGTTGATTGGCAGAGCAGGATTGCAAGGCCTTTAAGTCAAATTCAGATAAGGCAAATTAGCTTTATTGTTGCCAGAGAAAAGTGTTTAGTGGAGCCAGATGACAATTTTGTAGTCTATGCTATTTGCATCGGCTCTACCATCTGAATTCACTCCCATCATTGTTAATTCTGAATTTAAGCAGAGTCATACAAGCAAGACAGAATTAAGGAAAGAACCAGAAATTGTCTGTGTCTTGGATAAATGTATGTATGAGTACAGATAACCTCACGAGAAGAGTCTGTTTTTATAGACAGAAGTGCTTTAAAACAAAGCATCCTCAAGGTCAAATGTCATACAGGCCAAGTTCTTCCTCTGAGAGGTAAATAAGTATTTAAAGCAGTTACCCAGTTTCAAATGAAAACAAATACAGACCATTCCCAAGGACACTCAAAAGTCATGTCATGAGAAAAACGAGGCTCAATCCTGAGCCTCTAGGTTGGTTTATTTACTTTGATGGAACTCACTGGAAAATTGTTCAACTCCATGGTTTGCTGTGCCTGTAGTAGGATGTGTTTTCTGTGCATTGGATGTAGAACTTGTCAATCAGGCGCTTTCCTAGAGCACTAAAATGTACAGATTACACACATCAAAGGCAGGCTACAACCACTGGAGCTGAAATTTACACAAATCTGTGCAGCTAGTAACTGGATAAACAATGAGACTAATGACCTTGTTCTGCATTAATCTCCCTATGGCTCAATTGGTACTGGAAGAAGGTTGTGGCTTTGGCTTCAAGCCTCAAACCAGAGATTACGTGCTTGCCCAATGCCAATGGAACCCAGGAAGCCTGAGAATACAACCCTAGTCCTTCCATTTTATGAGGTGCATTTACCACAATTCAAGAAACACATCCATTACCATATCCACCTGGGAAAGAGATTTATAAAAATAAGTAAATTCCTTGGCTATGCCTCCCTCTCAGGGAGTTTATTTTCTTTAATAGAAGGCCCCAGGTTTTCCTTGAGTGTTTTCAGGGTCTCTCCATTGCCCCCCAAAAACAAGATAGAATCCTTGATCTATGTTCCTCTTTCCGCCAAGAATAAATTTCAAAAAAGCTGCATGTGTAAAGAACAGAGAAAAGAAGAATTGAAGTTGACCAGTAAACTTGATCAGCATCCACTTCTAATTTGGAACATTTGGGGAAAGGAGCATTGAAAATAGAAGGTGCTTTCTAAGAGCCAATAAAAATTGCTATAGAGTCCCTTCCACACAACTGGCAAAGGCTGAGGGTTGCTGCTGGCAGGAGGAAGCCAAAAGAGACGGAGCATCTCAGGAGGAGTCTGCACCCTGGGCAGCCTTGGGCCATGCCAAAGGGACCTAGGAACCCTGGAACCCTACCCATCTCCCAGCCCTTCCGCTTTCATCACTTTGTCCACAGGTCACACTGAAAAGCTTATATTGGAAAATGGCTCCCAATGAACCCAGGAAATGGTTCCATTGTTGGGGGTCACCTTAGGTCAGAAAGGACACACTGAATGCCCTATGTATTACACCTGTGGTACTCCTGTCCCTTCACAGCTAGCCCTAGCAATCATCTTTACTGCATTTGTAAACTTGAGATACCTCTGCCTGAGATACATCATGACATTCTATTCTAAAACATAGATTTTGGTGGCACTTAAACAGTCCCAAGACACACCTTTCTAGTCACTATCCCCACCTCTGAGCCCTTACAACTGTTGTTGGGAGTATTTTATACACATATACATTACTGCTTTCTCAGGTCACTATACTAAGACTGTTTTCAGAGCTACTGTAATGTGTGTCAAATGTCTCACAAAAATATATTGTTTTCAGTGCTATTTTCTTCATCCACTTATGAATTCATTAAGAGCCCACGATAAACACGAGTTAAAGCATATTCGCTCTGTTCTTTTCATTTCATTTGCGAGAGTCTCTCTCACCCAGGTTGGAGTGCAGTGGCGGGATCTCAGCTCACTGGAACCTCCGCCTCCTGGATTCAAGCAATTCCCTGCCTCAGCCTCCTGAGTAGCTGGGATTACAGGTGCCTCCCACCACACCTAGCTAATTTTTGTATTTTTAGTAGAGACAAGCATTTTTAGTTCAAGACCATAGTGGCCAGGCTGGTCTTGAACTCCTGACCTTGTGATTCACCTGCCTTGGCCTTCCAAAGTGCTGGGATTACAGGTGTGAGCCACTGTGCCCGACGTTCTTTTTTTTGAGGCAGAGTCTCGGTCTATCGCCCAGGCTGGAGTGCAGTGGCACAATCTCGGAGGAGGCAGTAGCACTGCATCCTCCGCCTCCCGGGTTCAAGCAATTCTCCTGACTTAGCTGCCCAAGTAGCTGGGATTACAGGCATGCGCCACCACACCCAGCAAATTTTTTCAGTTTTAGTAGAGACAGGATTTCACCAGGCTGGTCTCGAACTCCCGACCTCAAGTGTTCCACCCGCCTTGACCTCCCAAAGTGCTGGGATTACAGGGGTGAGCCACTGCGCCCGGACGGCCACTCTGTTCTTAAAATGATCTCTCATCATGCTCACTTAGGGGGTAACAAACGCGTCAATAATTTTGGTGGCCTTTGTAACACAACTGATGGAGGCGTGGAGATGGTCATAGCAGCGGACCTGAGAGTGTAGCTTCCCATTTGCTCGTGGTAATGGTTCTTAGCACTTGAGAAGTTTTTGGTTTTGCAACTTAACAGGTCCCCTAAAAAGGATCGTCTTTGCTTCTTGCTCTAATAATACATTTGCACATACTTTCGCATGCATGAGCTCACTTAATAGTACGGTATTATTACACCCATTTTTCAGAGAGGAAACTGACTCTGGGAGAGGTTAAATGGCTTGCCTGAGGTCACCAATGGCATGAGAGGGAGCTGCAGGGCCCATCTCCTGGCTTCGGATCACAGTATTTCAAAGCTGTCTCTTTATTTTAGTTACTTCCATAACAATAGAAGGGAAGGGACCTACAATTTTTTAACCATAAAAACAGAAAGGTTTCTGACTAGTGGCCTATAGGAAAAGATCTCTGCAGACTATCGACAAGAGGTTTTCAAATCATAGGGACCAACTATGATACTACTTTGATAAAAACATTAACATTGGGTTTCCAGAATCTAAGTTCTGTGGAACAAAACTATGCAGTGCACCATATCATGTGTAGAAAAAAAGGACCACTATACATAATGAACATATGCACACGTGTTGCGTCAACGTTCTCTTCCCAAATGTGGTCGCAGAAGAAAGTGCGAAGCATGCTGAAATAAGACGATATTTACTGCTGAAGAAATTCGGCTTCACATATCGGTGATTAAGAACAAGATATTATCCCTAATAAAATTATTACAAAACGAAATCTAGAGAAACTAAGTATTTCCCTATGTTCTCTTTATTTTATCCCATGTGCTCAAGAATGGTCGCAGGGAGCAGAGAAAGAAAGAAAGCCATAGAGAGCCAGCCTCTGCTGAGGGTTGGTTTTGCTTTAGAATCTGGAATGTGTCCAGGCTTGATTTTTATTTTCAATTCACATTTCAGATCCAGCTCCCCAAACTCTTTGATCTTTCTCCCTGTCTCCTTACCCGGAAGAGAACCCTTGGCCTTCTCAGCTGGGAGCTGGGAGCACACGTGGAAAGACTGGCTGGGATCCATATTCTTGCCAAATTTAGTCACACAAAGGGGCCTGCAAGGGAAAAAAGAAAGGATGAAAGCGGCAGCCGCCACGACTTCAAAGGCCGCGCCGCCGCGCCAGGCCCTGCGCAGGCGCCGCCCTCAGCCGATATAAGCCTCGACTCGCGCGCGCGGGCGGCCTTTCCGCGCGCGTCCCCGACCCGGGGTGCGAGCCGAGGGGCACTGAGGGGCCGGGGCGAGGAGTGCGAAGGGCTGGATGCCGCGGCCGTGCTACCCGCCGGCCTTCCGAGGCCGGTCCTCATGCCAAGTTCAGGCGCCTGAGAAAAGTTTTTCAGAAAGGAGGGAAAAGAATGTCACGTCCTGCCCAAGAAATGAGCAGTCCTGTGACCCGCAAAATGACTCCAGCTCCCACTTCCATTCCAGCTCCATTCTAGGCATTCCCCGTGCGTGGGAGCCCGAGTTCTCGGCGCAGAGCGGAGCCGACCGGCGAGGGCGTGTGGCGGGGCCCTGCCTGGCTCCTTCGGCTCCCCTGGGCCCGCCTCGCGTCCCTGAGTCCCGGGCGCTCTCCTCTCGGCGGGATTCCTCTCCTTCTGGGCAGCCCTGGGACTTGCGCCCTCGCCTCCCAGGTGGCAGAGGGGCGGCCCGCAGAGCGAGGTGGGATGCGCCCCTTCCTTGCGGGCCGCGGGAGGAGGCGGCCCTCTGGACCACTGCGCCTCGGACCCCCACCCGGCGAGGCGCGGACGCGGGGCCCAGCCTGCCTTGGCCCAGCGCGGGGAAATCCGCAGGAGGGCGCGAGGAGTGGCGGACCCCCCTCACTCCAGCCCCGCGAGGCTACACCGAGCTGCAGACGCCAACGGGCGCCGGCCCCGCGGAAGCCCGACGTCCGCAGGCGGCCGGATTTGGGAACGACTTTTTCACGGTCCCACGAGTTCCCTGATACCCCGGAGGGTGGGGGGTTGAGTTTGTTTGTCTTTAGGAGGTGGTAAGAAGAAGCGGAAGAACCCCTGGGACACAAACTGCCATTTCCCTCGCCCCCCTTCTCTCCTTTTCCGCGAAGTCCGTTAAACCGAAGATGCCCGCAGCTTTCGTCTCCGGGCGAACCCAGGGTGGGAAACGGAGGGGGTCGGAGTTCCGCCTCTGGAATCACATTTTTCGTTTTCTAACCCTTTCTCTCCGGCTTCTGAGTATCCTCTTCTGTAGGCCCCGCCACCTCCTTCCCTTGGGATCCCACCAAAGTTGTAGCTGGGAGAGAGTCCAGGCCACACAAAGGGGAAGACCCGGAGCCTGGGCCGGGGTTAGGACGAGGGGGCGGAGAGGACTTGAGGGGGGAGGCACCGTGTTTTTCTCTGGTCCTTGTAATTAAGGACTCACTGGACTGTCTGTAGCCGACTCGAATTGGCAGCAAAATCGCCGGGGGGAGGGGTTTTCTAGTGTGAGTGGGGCTCACTCCCCTTGCTCTCCTGCACACTCCCAAGCGGGGCTGGGCTCCTCTTACCCCGTGGGCAGAGAGGCCGTCTCTCCTCCCCCCTACCCCGCTCCTCTGTTCTTGCGGGGGGTGGGCGCCTCGCCCCCCACGCAGTTGAGGAGACGGCGCCCGATGCAGAAGGAAGTGTTGACGGGGATAAAACAAGTTTGCTCCTAAACTAAACCCAAACCAAGCAAAGCCACCAGGAGGGGAAAAACCGACAGCAATCCAGCCAGCCCCTAGCGATTGTTTTCACGGTCGGAATTAAATCACATCAAAACGCCCCCTGAAACCCACATCCTGAAGGAGTGAACCTGCAACAGTCAACCTCCAGTCGTTCGCTCGAGTTCACACGAACAACTTGCCTCTACATCCGAGGGAAGGGGGCGGCGAGCGGCGGGTGCCTCTCCCGCACCGCACCCACCACATCCCGGACCCGGGATCCCACTCGCACCCGTAGAGGCGGCTGCTTATGTTAATAGCAGCCCCCACACGAATTAGAAAAGACCGCCCGGTGACAGAATTGTGTTTGCCAGAAACTACAATGAATCCGTAAGGGAGAGGAGGAACGTCTTCCCGGGGTTACTTTGCACCTCCTGCGTCCTTCCGCGTCCTCCTGCTTTTTCCGAAAGACAGACTTCAAGTGGAAATGTCAACCTCTCTCCAAAACGAAGCTTTATAAATCTGGGGCGCATGTTTTTTAGTAAAGCCCCTTATAAGTGCTGCTTATCAGAAGATTTACAATAATCCTAAAGACAATCAGCCAACACCGGTTATACTACTGTAAAGAAATCAGCCACGCAAATACAGCAAGGTGCTGGGTGATTTCGTTAGAAACAATGTTTTCAATGGACAGAGTCACAGTAAAATACCAAACACAGCCACCTACCCTTGGCCCTTCAGATAAACAGTTTCCACTAGTTATTGTAAAAATTCCCATCTTCTTGAACTCCTGATCTTCAGGACACCTGGAGCATGGGCTCCAAATGACTCGGGGAATCCAGAGAGTTAGCATGAAGGAGAAAATGGGATCCGAATTAGTTTCAGCACTTAAACAGGGGGGATGCAAGAGTCGTCATTTAATCTCCTTTTAGTTTCCAGAAACTCCCCCCTGGCAGTTCTGTGTTTCCCCTCCCCCTCCTAAGGGTTTGATGAAAAGGATCCTCTACTCTGCTTTGGTGAAGCTGCATTTTCCAGTTCTTTTCCTATTGGTCAAATTGGTGCAGTTTATGAGAGGACTTTTGACTTTGTTTTCCCTTATGTCTTTTAAGAATGGGGCTATAAATGTCTGACACAGCTACATGTTCACTTCTCTGGGACGCTCACTCGCACTGGTACCTAACTTTAAGAGAAGTGACATACCACCATCATCCAAAAACAAAAATTGGATTTCTCACACACTGTAGCAGAATATACTCTTTTTCTTCTCTTGGGGCACAGCATTGTCAGTTATTAAAAAAGGATTTAATGTTTTACTTTTCCTGGCTTCCTTTAACAATCCCTTAATTTCACCCCAACTCCCAGATAAAATTTACATGTGACTACTGGCCATGTTCTAGGGACCAACTAGAGCCTTCATAAAGTTTAAAAATTGCTTCCTAGTAAATTCTCATTCCCAAGAAGAAGTAGTTATTAGTAGGTGAAGTTTTAAATGCTCTCTTAGATATAGGATTGTTAAAAATCTTTACCCATTCAATGTCCAGCAGCCTGAAATTTCACCTTTAGGAAAAAAAGAGGGATCTTTGCCTGACCATTTATAAAATAGAGCAAAATCTGATTCTGTAATGTTTTCTTTATTTTCAATTTAAGGGCGATAAAGATACATTTCTTTATGTCCTTTGTTTACTGTTCTGAAGTTTTACAGATGGCTACTGTATTGGATATAATAATTTTGCCTAGATTTTTAACTGAGGGGGGTTGAGAACCAAGGGACAAAATGTTTTCAAACTTCAGCTTCCCTTCTCTTGTAACTTTCACAGAGTACCTCTTGAAAACTCCTGTCCTTGTACAAAATGCATCAAAGAGACAGTGGAGACTGGGGAATTTTTGAGGTTGTATTCGGATTTGCATCTTCAAGGGTCCCTTTCAGCTTGCAGTCCAAGGTGCCAGGGACTGCCCCATCCTCCCCCCCTCTTCTGGCTTTGCTGTCCTGAGTCTTTGCCTTCTCTTCCCCCTTCTTGGATTATCTTTTCATTCTCTGTGAGGTTCCCACACATTGCGGCGTGTCTCTGAAAACCCACGAGAGACCTAGCATAACTCTCCGTACATCCCGTGGTGAGGACAGAATGAAAGAGATACTGTTTAAAAAGCAATAATTAAGATCCAGTCTTCAGTTCCTTCTTCCTCGTCATATGTTTTTCTCGGTAAGCCTGGAGATTTTATTTTTCTCTAGCGTGTTCCCTTGTTTCCAAAGAGTGTGTGATATTATATTCGGGAAAGCCACAACTCTCTTTTCCTTGTTCTTCTGTTCTCTCTTATTAGTTGAGCAATGTCTGTTATATTTTCGCCTTTTCCTTCTTTTCCCCAGTCCCGAATTCCCGCCTCTCCTCTCTGTCAGAGCATCTATCAATGTGGTGTCGATCACAGCGGCGGCGGCTTTCTCTTTCATCTTCCTCCCCCTGCCACAGCGAGGGAGGGAGAGTGGGAGGCGTCAAGGAGGTAGGGGAGAGACTGGCAGAGGAAAAGGAGTGGGTGGGTGAGGGCCAAGAAAATAGATACTTAGATGGTGAAGTTAAGCCATTCCGCCAATGTTTCTTGTCAATTTCACGCGGGCAAAGCTTGCCTCTCGGTGGGTTATAAGCAGCGCCCGGTCCTTCTCTCGCCAAGTTGCTTGATCTTTCCCTCCAGGCGCGCGATCGCGCGCTCGGGCGCGCGCGCGCGCACACACACACACACACACACACACTCACTCACTCACTCACACACCCCAAAACCAAGACTCGTCCTACAGGATCTGGGAAAAGAAAAAGAAAAAAAAAAAGCCCTCAATCACCACCTCCTTCTCGCCGGCTCCCTCTTACCACCCCCCCTCCGCCTCCCCTCCAGCGGGCAGCCAAGGAGAGTTGGAGGCGGGGGAGGGGAGAGGGAGGAGAAGCGACGCAAGTGGGTAGCTTTTCAGCGCCGGCGAGGCGCGGGAGGAGGAGAAGCGGTGGGGAGGCGCAGCCGCTCACCTGCGGGGCAGGGCGCGGAGGAGGGACCCGGGCTGCGGGCTCTTGGGCCAAGGAACCCGGACGCGCCCGGAGCCTCGCACACGGCCAAGCTCGGGGCGTCCCCTCCCCTCAGCTGGGCGAACCCAAGGGGCGCAGCTCTTTGCTTTGATAGAGCTAGCTGGCGGAGGCGTGCAGAGCCGCGAGCCGGTGAGCCAGGCTGAGAAACTCGAGCTGGGAACAAAGAGGGTCGGGCTGAGTGTGTCTGTCGGCTCGAGCTCCGGGCAGAAGCTTTTGGGCCCGAGGCCCCTGCTGTGACTCCCGGAGACTCCGTTGTGCCCTCCACTACGGAGTCCCGGTGCTCCCCGGCAAAAACTTTATTCTTGGCAAACTTCTCTTTCTCTTCCCGTCGTCTACGGCCCCCACCTTCTCCTCCTCCTCCTCCTCTAGCAGATTAAATGAACCTCGAGAAGGAAAACCGAAGCAAAAAGGAAGAAAATAAGAAGCTCTAAAACGGACATCTCCAGTGTGGGTGGCTCTTTTTCTTTTTTTTCCCCACCCTTCAGGAAGTGGACATTTCGTTATCTTCTGATCCTTGCACCTTCTTTGCTGGGACAAACGGCCTTTTTGCCCAGATCCCCTCTCTTTTTCTCGGAAAACAAACTACTAAGTCGGCATCCGGGGTAACTACAGTGGAGAGGTTTCCGCGGAGACGCGCCGCCAGACCCTCCTCTGCACTTTGGATAGTCGCACTCCCTCAAGAACCGGCGTCCTCCGCGCGCAAATCCCGGCGACGCGGGGGGCGTGGGGTGGCCGCCGGGGCAGCCTAGCCTAGCCCGCGCCTCGCAGACGCCCCCGGAGGCGCCAGCTACTGCGGCCCTCGCCGCCCAGTGCCCTTCGGCCTCGGGGGCGGGCGCCGGCGTAGGTCTCCGAGAAGCGGGAAAGCGCGGCGGCCGCCGGGATTCGGGCGCCGCGGCAGCTGCGGCCGGCGGCCCCGCGTTCGCCCGCCCTGCTTCCGCCCGCGGTCTTCCCGCACGAACCCTTCCAACTTTCCTCTCCTCCTCCACCCTTGAGTTACCCCCCTGTCTTTCCTGCTGTCGCCGCGGGTGCTCCCACCGCGGAGCGGAGATTACAGAGCCGTCGGGATGCCTCAACTCTCCGGGGGAGGTGGCGGCGGCGGGGGGGACCCGGAACTCTGCGCCACGGACGAGATGATCCCCTTCAAGGACGAGGGCGATCCTCAGAAGGAGAAGATCTTCGCCGAGATCAGCCACCCCGAAGAGGAAGGCGATTTAGCTGACATCAAGTCCTCCTTGGTGAACGAGTCTGAAATCATCCCTACCAGCAATGGACACGAGGTGAGCTGGCCAGTGCCCCAGTCAGTTCCGAGAGGCGTGGCGGGTCCCTGGGAAACGCAGAGCGGGAGGAAGGGAACGAAGGCGCCCGGCATCCGGGCTGAGGGTCCCGAGTCGATCCCTCGTTTGTTTTGGGGTGTGTGCGTGGCTGGGCCCCCGGTCCGCATTCCGTGTGTGTGTGTGTGTGTGAACTTCAAGTGGATCAGTTTAGGGGGTTCGGTGGCTGAACGGTTGGTTCGCGGGCAGGAAAACGTGCCCTTAACCCACAACGCTTCGCCTTCGCTCTTTTTGTTGGGGCTGAGAGGTGACATGCTTTAAAGCGAGTAGGGCTGAACAACGCTACTGAGAAATTCTTCCGTGAGACGGAAAACAAAGTGCACCCGCTATCTCTTGGTAGACGTCTCTGTAAAAGTGCGTTAAACCACCAAAGGCTTAGGTGGGGACCAGCAGAGCGATAGGCGGGAGGAAGGGGAGGCGGGCGTGGGCCGGGGCAGGCGGGGCCGTCCCAACCACAGCCGAGCCGGTCCGCGGGAGCCGGCCGGCCGAGGGTCGCGCGCCCGGACTGCGGTGGCTGTGCGGGGCTCAGTCTCTGCGGCCGCTGGTGCTCCAGCGCCTGGGTCGGCAGCCTGGAGCTTGGGAGCGCCGAGCGGAGCCACGCCAAGGGTACACCCGACTCTAGTTTTCTCCAAGCTCCATCACTTGGAAACAAACCCACAACATTTATTTGGAGTTTGAGCCCAGATCAGGGCTTAAATCTTCGCGAAAGAAAGGCGACTCCGAGCGGAGAAGCCGCGGAAGCCGGGCATTAGTCTGGCAGGGTCGAAGGCGCTTTTTCGGTTCTCTGGCCCGCTGCAGGCGATCGCGCCGGTAACCTGAGTAGAGTAAATAGAGACACGTGGGTGCTGGAGAAAGAAAGCGCGGAGCCGGGCGGCGCGGGAGGGCTGTTTGAAGCCACTTCCAGAGCTGGTGGGGGGGGGGGGGGCGGATGGACCCAGATACCGGACACTCCACTGGTCACCCTTGTTCCACAACTGGGAAACCCTCTCGAGAAAATCCGGTAGAAAAGTCCTGACACCCGAATGATTTAACAAAAGTCTTTTCCCTCCAAAGAAACTTGGAGGATATACCTTTTTTTTTTCCCTTAAATGGCATCCTTCTACCCCCAAAAAGAAAGTGTGTGGTTTTGAGGGCGGGGACATTTTGGGTTTTAAACTGCGCGTTTAAGAACACCTCAGAGCTGCCTTCTCTATCCCAATGGCAGAGGTGAGTACGCATTTCGAAAGGCCGGGGGCCTGCGTTCAGAGAGCAGAAAGGTGTTCTTTATCAGTTGAATCCAGTTTGAGCGGGGTCGGGGCGGGGGTAGGGTGCACCTAACCCGGCGTAAAAGATTTGTGACTACTGTGTGTACTGGGAAAAGGAGGTCAGTGTGAGGACACACGTCCAGAGAACCAAATGACATCCCAAACACGGGCTTTTTGCCAAACTCTCCTATTTGTAGAGCAGCCTCTCTTTCTACCCATTTTGCTAGTCCTGCCTTAGTCCATGCATAATTTTGCCACCCGCTTCATATTCTCCACACTTTTCTGGTCCAGGTGAAGGACACTGAGTTGGAATCCGAGCACTCGGATGTTTAAAGCGTTACCCTTTGCTAAGTGTTTAGTGGGTATGAGGAGGCCTGAGGGTGAGGGGGTTGCACCACTGATTTGCACGTGGTTGAGTCTGTCTGGGTGGATGGTGATTACCAAAACTGATATCAACGGGCTACCTTTTAGATGTCTGTAACCTGAGTCTAATTTTCCTCCCTGTAACCACAGAACCGTTCTACTTTTGTAAGCCTGCACTCAGCCAGCCATGGTAGGTTATAAGCTCGAGCTGGAGCTTCTGCTGGAACTTCGCTCAGGGTAGTTGCCTTAAGACCTCATCTGAATGGTTGGCTTATGTTTAAATGTCATTTTCAGTAACAAAATGATATTTTAGCTTTGAGAGATCTGGTTGAACAGTTGTTGAAGAGGCTATCAAAACCATCAACCCCATTAACTCCTACTCCTATCATGTTAGGCATCCAAGTAGGCTTGATATGGTTTAATAAACAGCAGTCAGAACACCATGTGGATCTTTCCCAAATTTAACTATATTTTTATTGCTTTTGTTACTGTATATATGTTTTTGGTCTTGGGTGGCTAATAATCACACAAAACTACATGTTGACAAGAAAAAGATTTTGCAGTACTAAACACTAGCATATGTCTCTCAGAGTAATAAAGCAGAGTTGCCCCTACACCTCTTCCTTTGAATTACCAGCGCACACACATTTATATCATTATTGTCACAAACTCTAAGGTGATTTTTTTTTTCTTTTGGGTGTGGGGATTCATGATATTAGGTGGCCAGACAAGCACAAACCTCTCAGGAGCCCTACCACGACAAGGCCAGAGAACATCCCGATGACGGTAAGATAACCAATTCTAATTCTGACTTTAGCATATAAGATGTGCAGTTCTTATAAATAGGTGTGTTTTTTTACTTTCAAGTTCAAGAAACTGAGACTCAGTCAGACTATGCCCTCTATTTTAGTAAAATGGTAAAGAAAACGCAGGAAACGTATGGCTTACCTCTAATGTATATTATTACATAATTTAAGAATGTTTTTGTATGAGTTAGGGACCTTTGGATTTCAGGTGGGTTCCAGATTCTTTGGGGAAGAGGGGATGTCTATAATGAATTTTTCTCTTCCTCATCTTACCTTAAGTTCCAATTAGCCTACATCTTTAGTATTTTAATATATTATTAAGAAGAATGACAGTATTCATCAATTTATTTTCCAACCAGAATAGTTGTGAGTGGATTTGCACTTGCAAAATTGCTGGATTTTGTTTCTTATTACAGTGAAACGGCAGGCAGTGAATGAGCAGAGCAGAATCTAAATAGTAAAAATTTATAATTAGGAATATGCATATCAGAGATGATACACTTTCTCCCTATTTCTGAATCTTGCTAAAAACTTAAAATTACATACATATGTATTTAGACTTAAGGAGAATTCCTTGTGACTTTAAAAGAATCAAGTAACTTTAGAGTTTCCTTGTCAGTCTGTCTGTTCTCTATTAATTACTTAACTATTGGCCTAACTAAAATGAAGTGTTTTTACATACAATATGTTAACCAGAAGAAGGCAAGAGAATTATATATTAAGCTTCTTCCTCATCTACAAAATAGTTGCACAGATTAACAAGAAGAAATATACATATTGAACAAAAATTTCTTTGGTATAGTGATCTAAGTGTAGCAGATAAAATTAAGCCTCCCAGAGTTAATCCTTCATAAATTTGGATAGTTGCCTATATACTAAATAACAACTCTCTCCCTTAGTAGAATCTAGAATTTTTCTAGAAATCTGCAAGCACAAGTAGTTAGAATTTTTGAGTTTCTCTAAAAGGCAAAATATATAACTTCAAGTATGTAAATATCTCTCTGTGTGTGTGTAGCTAGATGGCCTAATATGTTTATATTACAGTTTTAGATTTGTGTGTGTTCTGTATTTTTTAGTCCAGTTTGTTAGTATTAGAACAAATTACGTTAGATAGATAACACTTATTTTTGTGAAAACATCAGTCAGTAGTGGAAGAACTGTTTGAATCACATGTTTTTAAAGCATCTGGTTTACTGCTATAAGAGAATAACTACTGTCGATCTAAAATAGAGCATAATAATCCAGTTACAGTATTTTGTAAACAAATCTTTTATGTAAGGTCTGATTTATCTTAGAACCATTAGATTTTCAGATGAAAAATATAGCGATATAAAAGGGAAGTCAGTGCATCATTGATTGTTCTTTGGATCCTCCCAGGAAAGCATCCAGATGGAGGCCTCTACAACAAGGGACCCTCCTACTCGAGTTATTCCGGGTACATAATGATGCCAAATATGAATAATGACCCATACATGTCAAATGGATCGCTTTCTCCACCTATCCCAAGAACAGTAAGTAATATGCTGATGTTGCAAATTATGTTCAGAAGTGTAAATTGATTTGTACTTTGGAGAATGTTTATTTTTCCAAACTCATTGGAAATGCTTTCACTATATATAACCATTCATTGCTAAATAAGAGCTGTTACGCAGAAGGGCCACCTTAAAATAGTGCTACCTTTGATGTCTTGCCTTTGGAATTTTAGCTTTTGGCTTATTGGTTAAAATAAATATGTAACAGATCATGAATTATAGAATCAAGTGAAGTGGCAACAAATCCATGATTTTATAAGTTGTGCTTTCTATGCTGATGAGAGGGAAAATTTTGATTTACTTTTAAAGCTACATAAGGACTGTATAGCTTTTAAATTAGTTTGTCTAAAAGGCAAAACACAAGCTATCTAGAATCAAGATGGCTTTAGCTATTTGGAGCTGAACGTTTGTTATGTTACTTTGGCTTTTAAAACAGTGTCTTATTTTATTGTATCAGCTAATGTTTCTTTAGGATCAGTTTGGTGGGGGAGGATGAGCTATTTTTACTCTACCGTCAATTGTTGAGAAAGCATCACTCAAAGATAACCCTAATGAAAGTTGTTCCTTTTTTTTTAATCTTGTGGTTTAGTTAACTTTTAAAATTCTAAAAATGCAGTGGTATTATAACTGTATTATGCAAATGCATAACATTATAAAGAATTTCATGTTGGTTATTTGATATTTTTCTTAGGAAGTAGAAACCTCATTTATAGTGCGAAAACACCTAAATGGTAACTTGTGTAATAGGTAGGTGTAAAATGTGCTGGTGATGGAGTTCTCTCTTAGAATTATCCCACCAGCAGTGGTGATGGATTTTTTTACTGACCCATCAATATATTTACCTTCTCTCCAACCCCACTCTCCCTTTACCACCTAACCCCCAATGAAAAACACATGTGTATGATGGGTCTCGGGGATTAGAGTTTCAGTCTCACTGACAGCCCTGGAGGTCACATCTAGGATTGTAAAATGGAACCTATAGTGTGACTCATTTGTTCAGTGTTTCTACCAACTGAAAAAAAAAATCAGTCAGAAACATCTGGAAAGAGTAATGTTGTTAATACCTTAGTTAACAAAATCTGGAAGTGGGGAGATTCACCAAAGTAGCAGAGAATATTGGCTCAAAATCAACAGTTATTAACAAGAGTATTTGTGGTTATCATGATTATACATAGTCCTCAATTGTTGAAATGATACTTATATCAAATATGATCACTTTGTGTGAGCACTGTGATTTAGATGTTATTGTAATTATTTTCCAATAAATTTCAAAAGGATATTTGATCTCTCAAGGAATAAAATTTTTCTAATTTTGATATAGTTGTTAAAATGAAGATCTTGTAGTTTTGTATAGTAGTTAAAATGGAGATATAGTAGTTAAAACGGGGTTCTAATCTTGAGGGAGATCTTCTGATGGTTGCTATAGGAAATAGATATTTCATATTTTAAGGCTTTTCAAGTATTTAATGATAGAGACCTCTGTGTGATGAGGATGAATCTCCTACCTAAAAAGTGAACTAATAAAAGCAAAAATGGTTTAATATTTAGAGACCCCTCAAATAAATTATTGAGTTTTAATTATTGTAGGAGACTAAATTTTTGAACAAAACATGCTAAATATAGATAACTCTTTAATATTTGGGGAGGTTTTTTGTTGTTTTTTTTGGAGGGGGGTGAAGAAGGGAAGGAGAATATGTTTTAGATAAGGAGTAATTGAAGATTCCTGTTAAGTCATTTTCAGAATAACAAATAATCTTTCCAAATCAAAGGGCAGTGTTGGTGACAATAGAAAATAGCCCCCAAAGCAGTCTTACATTTTTCAGCTGTGCTTATCCAGCATTTGTGGAATCGATTCCTTAAAAAGATCAGCTACTTACCCTTTCAAAATGATAATTTTAAAAAGTCAGTATAATGAAAATGTATTGGTATTTACAAATAATCCCTAAGAATATTGAAAATTAAGCTGATCTTTCTCTTTATGCCAGCATTCTGCCTTCTGTTTCCACAATCTTGTCTCCCAATCTACCAGTATACTGGTCATTTTGAAATTTTGATAGTAAATATCTTCTGATGGAAGTTATTTATTGTTAGTTTATGTGTGAAAATTTTGAGGTCAGTGAAATCAAACAGTCATTCATTGTTTAGGAAAGATTCGTGGCCAGAATAAATGTTGGTCTGGGTAGAGTGTAGGAAAGGGGTGTGGTCAGGAAACAGTTACCTTACCCTGTTATCTGCTGCTTTACTTTATCCTGTTACATATTAGGATGTATTTATTCTAGGCAAGTTTTCTTGAGATATTCTGCAGTTTGCACAATTCCAGAAGCTTTTCAGCTGTAACCACAAGACTATGTCAATTTTTTTTTTTTAGGTCCAACCGAAGTGAGTTACAATCTTTGGTTTTTAATACCTAACAGCTGTTTTTAATGTGTCTGAGATCAAAAACACTAACCGGAAGACAGCCTCTCTTCTTCACCCCAAACCACACTTCTGCCTTCTTGCTCTTTAACTCTATCCTTAGCAGGGCTGAGTGTTTGTGTCACTGACATCCACAGTGATAGATTCTCATCTAGGGTGTCAGGAGCATGGCAACCATTTGTGTTTGGGCTTAGGATGGGAGCATCCCCTTGGCCTCCTGCTACTTGAATTTGCATTACAAGCAATTGCTTGTTTACTGCATCTGCTTCCCAAAAGTGTTAGGACTGGAAAAATACCTGGGGTTGGGAGGGACCTGACCACTCCTTCCCTAAATAGTCTTCTGTTTGTAGGTAACTGCAGATAATCCAGAGGATACCAGCTATGGCCAACTGGTCTGCAGAGAAATGTTTCCCCTGGAATCTAATTATTAAAAGTGCATATGTTTTTGCTTATTTTTTAGAAGAACGCTAACGTAGGTATGCGTGAACAGATTGTACCTATGACCAGTATACAGTATTACCTATTCAGGAGAACCACTTTCACCTACTCAGCTTTTTTCCTTCTCAAGGGGAGTTTTAACTGGCAAATTACATCCTTCTAGAACTGGAATCCTCAGGGGTATGAATGTCCATATTGTCTACACCAGAAATCTTATGAATGGGTCTCTCACAGAACTTTAAATAAGAATTCTTAGTTCAGATAAATCGGGCCCAGAATAAAGCACCTAAGATCCTGACGTGTGGTGTCAGCGTGAGTTCTTAGGGCACAGTAAACCTTGGCTTGAGTTGGTCTTCTTCACAGAGAGAAGAGGTACACGCCTGTTAAATATTTTAGAGCCAGGACCCTGGAGAGTTTATTAAAAGCATACTCCCAAACCTTTCTTTCTCTGAACTTTATTTATGAAAATCCCTGTAGACCAATGGTAAAGTATTAAAAGAAAAAAACTGTTCTTTACATCCCTGGTTTGACTCTGGCAGTTGTGTGCCTGAACACCTTGTGAATGGTGAGCTTGGCTAGCTTTAAGTAGTGAAAGTTCCCACTGGCTTAATGCACTGTGGTTATTCATCTTAGGTGTCAATCTTCCATTTGTCCTGCATGCAACCCAAATGTTTAACACCTCAGAAAAGAAACATCTCATTTCTCTTCAGATGCTTGGGGAGGGAAAAGCAACACAGTGCAGGAAGCTGCAGCTCAGTGACGCCAAACCACAATAACACCTGGTCAGCGTAGCGCTGCGAACTTCATTGTTTTTAGTTTTTTGTGATCTAAGAGTGAATTTTTAGGTGGGAAAAGAAAGGTATAGGTGTTCTCATTTCAGCTATCTTTTAAAATGTTTATTTATTTTTTAAAGTAGAAATTGCATGAGTTCTTTTTTAATTATTTTATATAACTTAGTTCTGTTGCAACTTTTACCTTAGGGGAATCAACGCTTTGGTTTCTGATAAACAGAATTATACCTATTATAACTTTGTCTTACCTACCCTCCACATTTGTATTTGCTTGTAAACAGCTAAAATCTGATTTTGTCATTGTTCACATCTGGAATTAAGGAACTAAGTTGGACTTGTCTAATCAGTAAGCTTCTGAATACCACTGTACGTGACATTGTTGCATACCTTTGAAAATAATAATGAATAATAATCAAGGATAGATGGAGACTAAAGCTTATATCTCATGCAAGATTTTTAAGGTAGACTATCTTTTCACTTTATTGCAAGAAGCTACTGAATTTGGCTTACCTCTAAATTATTTTCACTTTTCCATTTTAAGTTGTGCACTTTTTGAAGCTAAATGTACTGAGTTTTCCCGTTCAAGTGAAGAACAAGTTTTAGAAAGTGTATTATTCTAATTCAAATGTATACGTAGATGTCATGAGAATGTGTGGGAAAATTCCTCAGAGCCCCCAAAGTTTCCTGTTTGATATCTTCTAAATTGCATTGCTACAGTTTGGGACAGAATGATAGTCAGAATAGTTGGGAGCTCTTGCTGTTCCCCCATCAAATATCTAATGGCCAGTTTGCTTACTTATGTGTCCCAAGGAGCCATGTTACATGCAACCCTTTCAGAGCTAATATTGCATTTACATGCCTGGTCCTTACTTAGTTTTTTTGAAATGACCCTAGTAGTTTCTTCTTCATTCGTTAAGACATGAGAACAACCCAAAAGATATTCTAAAAAAAGACTACACACTAAAAAAGACAATTAAACCAATCGGCAAAAAACTTGCTTTTGAAGTATTCTTTTCATCCCCATACAGGTCTTAGATTTGCTGTCATCCACCTCATTATTTTGATCCAGTCTTTCCTGTGGTCCAAGACTCTTACATGATTTAACAGAGCAGAGAGTGGACCTCACAAATGGGACCCTCTGGACTTGAATTTGCAGACTCACAAGTACTTGCTATGCTATCAGTTTTGTAGCAGTTGAGTTTTCATTTTTTTTAATGTTGTTTATTACGCAGAACCATTTTGGATTTATGTGATTGAATTTTTTTTGAGCAATCAAATCACTTCATTTTTGACTCCTTTTGTTCCTGATTTATGTATTGGAATTTTACAAAGCTG